GATGAGATAGACCGAGACCGCAGAGATCGCGAGCCGTTTGCGCGATCAAGGAGGCTGGATGATTACCCGCGAAACCCTCGCTATGAGGCCGATTGGGGTAGAGGCGACTCCCGCGGCCGATGGGAGACAGATCAGGGCCGACGAGATGGATATAGGGACGACAGATACGAGAGATCGGACCGAGATGGATATAGGGACGACAAATATGAGAGATCGGACCGAGATGGATATAGGGACGACAGATACGAGAGATCGGACCGAGATGGATATAGGGACGAGAGATACGAGAGATCGAACCGAGACGGGTATAGGGACGACAGATACGAGAGATCGGACCGGGACGGGTATAGGGATGACAGATACGAGAGGTCGGGTCGAGATGGCTACAGAGGAGGTAGGTATGAAAGAGGAGATCGGGACTGGGAACGACGAGATGGGTCGCGCGGACGGTTTGAGCACGAGGGAAATGAGAGAGAGCAGCGCGATGAGTCGCGGGGGTGGTACAACCGAGGGGACCGACGCGATGAGACACGAGGGCGATATGACTCCGAGGACCGCCGGAATGATTCGCGAAGGCAGTATGAGCAAGGAGGGTCTGGAGGAGACCGCCGCAACGATTCGCACGGCCGGAATGAGAGAGGGGGGTATGGCGTCTCATCAGAACCATATCCCAAGTCGCCTGACCCCAAGGCAGCCAGGAGTTCGATCTCGAGAAGCGCAGACGACATACCATCTACTCTCAGGAACTCATGCGTTTACTGTAGAGGAGAAGATCATATCAAGAGGGATTGCCCGGACCTCAAACGGGCAATAGATGAGGGACTTGTCGTGCTTGACGACCGCAAGTACGTCAAGTGGGCAAATGGTCTAGGAGATGTATCGTTGTTCCCTTCGATGAAGGAGAATGTCGAAGCAAGGAGAGTAAAGCCGAGTAAAGAAAAGGAGTCGGTCAGGAACCAGAGCATCAAGATAACCTTTGAGGGGGATATGGCGACCACACCCATAAGGGTGGCAGCCACCAAGTCGGCGAGAGGGTCTACATCGAAGAAGAATGACACGGATTACGTGATGACGGAGAAGGACGGGCAGCGGATCGATGGAGAGGAGGTTATCCTTTCGCCGCGAAACAGGGGAGTCAAGAAGTTCTTAATGAAGAGTTCGCTGGACAAGATTGACACGGTCGAGCCACTGAGGCGGGCCCTTCGGCAACCCATGCAGTGCTCTATTCTGGAGTACCTGGCGGCATGGAAGCCGTCTCGTGATGAGTTACTGATAATCACGCGGAAGACTCGCATACCTCTATCGGAGGAGGGTCAGGGGGCCCCTAAGGCGGAAGCTCCTACAGTAGCAGTAACGGGGGTGACAGCCAGAGCAGATCGCATGGCGACAGTCCTTCTCGATGGAATGGAAGGTGTGCCTCCAGACAAGTTTTATATACTTGGTAGCGGGGCCGTGGAGACGATTACAGACGATGGAGCGATACTCGATGTTGTGATCGATAACGGCAGTGAGGCTGTCATCATAGACGAGGACCTGGCAGTACAGGTTGGACTGGGCCTCGATAGGTCATACCTATTCGAGATAGAGACGGCTGATGGGAGAAAGCAACAGATCACTGGGGTTTGTCACAAGGCAGCCATAGAGGTCCAAGGAGTACGAGTGACCCTGCCTATCTTTGCAGTCAAGAACTGCAACTCCGACTTGCTCTTGGGTCGAACGTGGCTGAGCCACGTGCATGCGGTGACGATAGAGCGACATGATGGGAGCCAAACATTGTCCATTAGGAAGCCAGACGGAACGCGGGTAATGATTGAGACAGTGGAGCCTCGGGACCCGAGGAACAGAGCAACTCTCGCTGTGGGTGCGAGACCCAGTAAACAGATTAAGTCGTTACCTATCTCCGGCCACGCGTACCCAAAGGAAAAAGATGAGGAATTTGGCGGTGTGGTATCCGTGTCTTTTTTAAGGGCACGGCCCCCTATGGGGGGCTACCCAAGCGACACAAGCGAGTAGCTCAAAAAGTTATGCCAGCAGCGGTGGGCCGCGAACGATCTGCACTGGAAGGGATATCGGAAGAAGAGATCGCGAAATAAATCAAACAAAGAAAGAAAAAGGAGCCACAACGCCTAACGGAAGAGAGGATAGCAGGGATGGACATCGGAGATGTAAATCTGACCCCACAGGAGCGAGAACGTGTGATAGAAATTCTGAAGACATGTGATAAGGCAATAGCTTTCAGCGACGCGGAGCGCGGTAGGATTGACCCTCGATACGCTAAGCCAGCGAGGATTTACATGATTCCACATGTTCCTTGGAATGACGC